TAAGGTGCTCTTTGTCATGAAAGTATCTTATTTCTCCATCAATTTTGAAAGATAGTTTTGCAGGGTACATCAGTCTGGGTTGGAGGCTGTTTTCCTTTAGGGCTTGCAATACATCACTCCAAGCTCTTCTTGCCTTGAGGTTTTACCTTGAGAAGTCTGCTGTGATTCTGATGGGCTTTCCTTTGTATGTGATTTGTCTCTTTTCTCTAACTGCTTGTAGAATTTTTTTCTTCTCGTGGGTTTCTGGAATCTTAACAATTACATGCTTATGTGTAGATATTTTTTTAATCAAGGCTAGTTGGAGTCTTATATGCCTCACTTATCTGTATGTCAAGTTCTTTCCCCCTGCTTGGGAAGTTTTCTGCCATCACTTCTGTGAACAGTATTTTTTTATGTCGTCTGCACTCTCTCCTGTTTCTTCATGGACTCCAATCCGTCTTATGTTATTCTTCTTTGCATCATATAGCAGCTGCTGAATTGATTTCTCGTAGTCCCTTACAATTTTAAAGCAATTTTTCTTTTCCTGGTCATTAATTACAATCTTATCTTCTATATCTGAAATTCTGTCCTCACATTGGCTCATTCTGCTGTGTTGACTTTCAATGGAATTTTTAATCTGGAAATTTGTTTGGATCTCTTTCATCAATTCCATTTGTTTCCTGTGTTGGGATTCCATCATATTCCTCAGCTCCTCTTTAGATTTATTAATCCTGTCTTGCACTATGGGCACAATCTCTGCTGTTATCTGAGAAATTATTTCTGATTTCGTTTTTTGCAGATCCTCTTTTGTGGCCAGTTCAGGGAATCTAGGTGGTTGAGTATCAGAGTTTTCCCTTTCATTTCCATTCGGGGTTGCTGTAGGTCATCTGGAAGCCTGGTTTTGAGGCTTGTTTTTGTGTCTTCTCATTTTGACGTTGGGGTCGAGGGGAAGGTGCTGCTGGTGTCTGCGCAGCTCACCTCCTCTGCCCTGGGAGCGATGGCACAGTGGCCCAAAAGCCTCCTCTTCTGTGCCTTACATAGCAATTTTAACTTGATGCACCTTGGCATCCAAAAAAGTGGATGAGGTAAAGCATTTGAGTGGATTCTGCCCCATGTTGGGCTAAGGCAGGCCTAGGACAGTCTGGGTAACACCCAGGCTTCTGATTTAGGGCCACTCTGGGTGACCTTGGTCTTTGTGCCCCCTGGGTTCCTGGTGTCCCCTGTGTCCCCTTCTCACTTCAGTGCAGTGCACAGTGTGAGCTGGAGAAACCAGGTTTTCTTAGAAATCCATCATTTTCATATCATCTTTGAAAAGTATTGTGTGATGAAGAATCCTCAGTGGTTGATGTTTTAGTTTGGATTTATTTTACTGCGAGTCCCTAAGGCTCTGTTTTGTGGAAAATCACTTACTTGGGTGGCAGAGCTAGAAGTCAGAGCTTGCTCTGAACAGACTTGCTGGTTGCTTCCCTTTCCCCTTGAGGACCATGGTTTATGTTCCTTGTAAAAACAATATACTGTGAATATCACCGCAGTGTTCCATGATACTTACTTGGAATATCACCTGGCAAGTTTCTCAATTTAAAAAATAATTTTCATAAACTTTGCAGTATTTCTTAATAATGTGCACTACTAGCAAATGAAACTATATTTTTTCTAGTTTAAAAATTATAAACTCAATTGGATTTATTCCAGTTAGAATCATTGCCTAATATTTAAAATGCACAATGGTGGCAATTTTTGATAATTTATTATTTATGCTAATTTATTATTTATTGCAGCTCAATGTTATTTATAATGTGAAAGATTCAGGGTCTTTTAGAGGACAAAGATCAACCCAAAATCAAGAAGCCTTTGATTTAGATGTTAATGTAAAAGATGATAAAAATGATATCAATCGTGTGAATTTGAATGTGTGTACAAGGTAGGTTCCTCCTCTTCCTCCTTTTTAAAAAAATATTTAAAGATTTAATTATGTATCACCATTAAACTATAATTAATAGAGAGTTATGTTTAATAAAGAATTTAGTTTTGGATTATACTTCAGACTATGGATTAGAAATACTACTAATTATATGTAAGTGTTTCTTAAACATGCTCCAAAATTATTTACAGGTTTCCCTCATATATATAATAAATTTAAATAGAAACATTTATAAATTAATAAAACTTGTCTAATTTAGGAGAACTTTAACCAATCATCTTTAATATTCCAAAATGGATTTTTTGTGAGTTACTTTTCTATTGATACAGTTTCATTCCAGTTTCAGATTTAAGCTTAATGTTTATGCTTTTTTTTTTTTTTGGTACCGGGGATTGAACTTGGAATCTTGTGCTGCAAAGCAGGCAGTGGAACCACTGAGCTAAATCCCCAGCCTAACTTAATGTTTATGCTTTTGACCTAAATCCTTATCTTACTGCAAGTTCAATGCATAGAATAATTTTTTGAGATACACAGGGAGTTTTCAAGTTTAGAAGATTCCCATCTTAGATACTTAAACTCTGAAAACTGAAACTTCTAAAAGTGCTTATGAAGGCAATTCTTAAATTGGTCTGTTTCCAAATCATCTGTGGCTCTTAAGGGAAAAAGCCTGTTTGTTGGAGCTGTGACTTCATAGGAGGGCTGTGAAGTTGCCTGAGCCAGATTTTCATGGTTTTTTAGTGCACACACAAGTTTGAGAACAAGGCTTTGAGAAAGTTCTAGAATCATTGGGATGCTTCATAATTTCTTCCTTGTTCATCTATTGTTTTACATCTGCATTGTTTGGTGTTGAGCTCAAGGTTACAGTAAGGTAACTGACACTGAGGAGCTGCTGTCTGCTCCTTCTAAATACCCCATTGCATTATGGTTGCATGTAGCTTCTTGTTGCTAGGAGTCACTGATGTGGTCCTGAACTTTGAGGGAATTTTTGATGTTCCTCCAGATGCCAAGCTCTTAGCCATGCCAGAACCTAGTCGCCTCCATTATTGCCACCATCCATGCTGCCTTTGGACCTTTTCATTCATGACTTTAGAACAAAGTGTCACACATGTTTGTCCCATTCCTCACCTCCTTGGGCATTTGGGTATCATGGAGATATCAGTATCTCTGTAGTGGCTTCCTTTTCTGCTGAGAAGGACGTAGGACTCCTTTTACCCTTTAGTAAGGTTGCAGAATAACAGTATCAAGTTATTTTTGTCAGCAGCAGCAGTAACCTACATTTATTATCAGTTTACATCCCAGGCACTGTACAGAGCACTTCACATGCATCTCATTTAGGCTTCATGGTAGACCTGTAGAGCAAGTGCTATTATTATCCCCGCCTTTCTCATTCATTCATCCACTCACACTGGAAATGTTGCTTAGTCCTCCCTGTGTGCCAGCATAGTTTTAGGCATGGACTATAATGGCAAGCCAAAAAAGACATGGGCCTGCCTTCATGGAATTCACTGTTTGGAGTGGGAGACAGAAATTAATTAAAAAAATTCCAAGCAAGTCTAAAATTCTTACTTTGAAAAGATCAGAAAAGAAGAGCATCATGGAGCCACGAGAAGGTGAATTTTACTTCTCAGGAGGTCTGGGGCCTGGTCATTGCTGCAGGGCTCCTCTAGCGATACAGGTTTCTGATTGTAACCAGCTTTGGAGTCAGAAACTAAAGAAATGTCTTCCTATAAAGTAGAGACTTTATAAAAGGGTTTTAAATGCTACTGCTAGTTTCCCGAGGAAAATCTGACATCAAATACAAATTAACATTGAGTGGTTTTTTTAGTGGCACTTTATAAAAAAGATTGCCTAATATCTCAGGGACTTTATTCCCACAGCAGGGTTCAAGACTGGACTCCAGACACTGTTTTCTGTGTGTCATGCAGTTTGATGAATTGTGCCATTAGCTAGGAGAATGACTAGTCTTGTGAGTGCTTCTGGTCAACCAAGGCCCTTTGCTGACATCCATATGACAATCTGCATCATTCTGTTTACTCTTTAAGTAGATGGGCTGTTCTCATCTGCAACTTTTGCTCACATATGAACACCTCTAGTTTCAGTCTTTTTAGCTTGCAGTAGTATCTCTGGCTGAGCAAATCGCCCAGCAGATGGTTTCTGTTGCTTTGAATTGCTGAGCCATTGAAGTCAGCTGTTGCACCATGCGGCTTTTCAGTCAGTCATGTTTGGCAGGCATTCGTTTACTACTCTAAAAAGCAAGATTTTCTAACATCTCCTCTAATTTTTGCCATCTAAAAGGGCAACAGGAAGTAACTTAACGATGGGACAAGCTTTTTATTTTGGAAGCACACTTCTTCCTGTAACCACACTAGGCTTTTGCCACTCACTCGTTTTAGAAAAACATTTATTTTCAAGGAGACAAAATGATGTTGGTGCCCACGTCTTTGATGCCCACATTGTGTGCAGCATGCTGAAAGAAGGATGCAGTGCAGTGCCACTTTCCAAGATTCCAATTCTCTCAAGAGGCCAAAGAAGACGCAAAGTGTGTTCCACACATGTGGGAGAACAAAGGGAACCCTTTTACTTGTAGTCTGTTTTCCCTAAAACTGGGTGGAAAAAAGGTTGCTAAAGACTTGGCAAGGCCTCCCTCTAAGTGGTCAATTGATGCGTCTTTTCCATTTTCTAGCTTTCAGGTGGGAAAATTTAGTGCTATCAGCTTTTGAGAAAATGAAAAAAGGTGATTTGCTTTGGAATCACCACTACAAAACTCTGCTCAATCAGTGGAAAGGGTGTGCATTGTACCTGTCACGACTTGTGAGCATAAGCCTGTTACATTGTGGACATTTTGCCAGGGATTTAGCTCAGTAGTGCTGCGCCTGCCTCGAAAGTGCAAGGTCTTGAGTTTGATCCCCAGTACTAGAAACAAACAAACAAACAAACAAGCAAAAAAAAAAAAGTTCATAGTGGGCATTTCATCCTGTCCGTCCAACAAGCCCATTGCTACATTGTCCATTCTCATTCGGTTGCCAGTAATAAGACTTATCATACATGTGGGAAGAGGAGAGCCTGTTGTCAAATTTTCTATAGTGAATTTTATTTGAACTCAAGCAATATTTGGGATAATATTTAGCAGTTTTAGTTTTTGTATGAAGATCATTTACTAACCACTTTAGGTTTTTCCTAAAGGGTATTTCTCTTCCCCTTCTCTTTGGTTTAGGTTTTTGGGCCCAGATAGAAGCGGCATGGCCCTCATGGAAGTTAACCTTCTCAGTGGCTTTGCAGTGCCGTCAGAGGCAATCCCTCTGAGTGAGATGGTGAAGAAAGTGGAACATGATCATGGGAAACTCAACCTCTATTTAGATTCTGTAAGTAGTAAAAGGAAGTCCCACAATGCCACTACTAATTGTGTTCAGAAGTCTATCGTACATGAAATATATTTTCTTTCAGTCATTGTTATATCAGGTTTTTGTGTCCCTCATGGCAACTGTGTTTGTCTCCACTAAAATGACATCACTATAAAACTGGTTTAGAGAGAGTTACTATTAATAATGAGCCAGAGGAAAGTCTTGATAACTAAATCCTAATTTCATGCTAGATATAAAATATAGAGTGACTGTCATCTTATAATTTCAGAACTTCAGTACAGATCAACTCGAAAACCCCTCTCTCAGGAAATCGCTAAACGTATTTGCTTAAATGCTCAAGATGAAAGCTTTAATGACTTGCTTTAAAATGCTTTCATGAAGTTTTTAACATATCTTCAAGGTGTTAATGTTCCTGCCATGAAAAGCTATTTAAAATCATACAAGAATATTTTTAGACGCTTGGTCTCAACAAACAATTATTATGTAACCTTCATGTACCTGCCACATTTCTGAAGCACAGCGGACCCTCGAGTTATCACTGGCCTGACATACAAACTACTTGGGTTACGACCAAAATTTTAGTTTTAACTTAGGAACAAAAGACTGGCCTGACATGTGAACTACTTGGGTTATGACCAGAATTTTAATTTTAACTTATAAACAAAAGACTGGCCTGACATATGAACTACTTGGGTTATGACCAGAATTTTAGATCTTTTTTTTTTTTGTACTGGGGATCAAACTCAGGACCTTGTACTTGTGAGGCAGGTGGTGGCACCACTGAGCTAAATCCCTGGCTGGATTTTAGTTTTAACTTTTGAACAAAATCTTCTGTTACCACCCGAATGCCAGCCGCTTGTGCTTCCAGATAGTCTCAGGTACAGATTTAACCCTCGAAGAGTTCTAAAAGGAACATTACAACTTTCTTTCCCGTGTGGGGTTGAGGAATCCTGGGCAAATGTCTAAGGACTCTGAGATCTGCCTGTATACAGGAGAGAGACACTGAAGGCTATGTAGACCTGAGCCTTCACTTGACCAACTTGAATTACAGCTGCCCTTGGGAATGAATTGAGTTTGTAAGTCAAGGGTCCACTGTATTGCTAGTGATATAAGAATTATTGCATAAAATATGTTAGAAAAGGTCAGTGAAGAATTGCATTGCAGACGCTGCTTGTTATATCCTAAACCTGCTTGCATGTAAGTTTATTGTTTTCTTCTAGCAACTGTATAAAAACTTTTAGGCTGAGTTTAAGTTGAATTTCAAGTGTTTTTAGGATTTTGTGGTACTGAGGAGGACACATATGTTTCTTATTCCAGGTTTGCTAATGTTCAGTCAGAAATATACTGCCAAATTTTTACCTTTAAAAAGCTAGGCCCTGAGTTTTCTTACTTGTTTTAGCACTTCAAAAAGCATTCTGGTTAAAGCCCTGTTAAAACTAATTCAGTCTTTCAATTCTTCTGCTGTTCAAGAATTTTCTTAAATTAAACACTACTTGAAAGCCATGGGCTTGATTTGGAACTTGAAAAACAAATTTAAGGTTTTTATTTAGTAATATAATTGTCTTATATCTGATTGCTCTTGTTAATGATTATTTTAAGTGTCCGATGACTACTGATTGGTTAGTTTGACTTTTCATATGCTACTGTTGGCAAGTAATGAATGTTGGAGGGAATTTACAAACTTTTGATTCCTTAACTGGTCCTGTTTTCAAACTGACAAAAGCTGTCCCAGGGAGGCAGGGAGGCTGGCCTTCAGTGCCCTGTATCAGTTAGGGTGCACCTCCAATTCAGGGCTCCCTCCTTTTTGGGGTACGATGGATCCCATGAGCAGAGGGCAAGTCCGTGGAGAGGAGGATCTGTGAGCCATGGCCACTCGCTGAAACTGGGCCCGTGCCTGAGACGGGATCTGGGCAGGCACCGGTGTCTCAGGAGCGGTTTGCTTAACAACTCCGACTTTCACATCCTTTTTAGCAAAATGGAACTAAGAGCAATCCCTGTCTCGTAAGGGTTGTTTTTGCAGGTAAAACTAAGATCATTCGTAGGAAATACTTACTGCAGTACCTAGCACATAGAAGTTCTCCCTAAATGTTCGTTTCTGTTTCCTAAAATAGTAAGAAATGGAAATGTGTCTTCTTTTATTAAGAACATATGGTATGCCAACCCCTTAAGAATCTTTTGTATTTTTTTCAAGGTAAATGGAACACAGTTTTGTGTTGATATTCCTGCTGTGCGAAACTTTAAAGTTTCAAATACCCAAGATGCTTCGGTATCCATAGTGGATTACTATGAACCAAGTAAGTGGGGTCTGGAGTTCCTGATACTTCAGAAGTTCAGCCAGGTGTCCATCTGTTCATCAATCAATCCATCCATTGGATTATTATTATTATTATTATTATTATTTGGTACTGGGGCTCGAACTTGGGACCTTGCACTTTTGAGGCAGCCGGCGGAACCACTGAGCTAAATCCCCGGCCCCATTGGATTATTATTATTACTTTTAAAATTGAATTTCATTTGTGATTTGGATTAGTTTTGTGGGGCAGCTGTTGGGGAAAGTGTAGGAGGTGGAGATGCAGGAGGTTAGCTTTCCGTTTAAATGAGGACTGTGGATCATTTACAAGGGCCATGTGATAACAGCATATGAGTGTTAAAAAGTGATAGTTTGCTCACAGTGTTTTAGGTTTTTACTTACAATTTTTACAAGAAAAGTTGGCATAGAGAAACCAGTTTTGTTTCTGCCTGGCTCCTGCTGCCAAGTGGGAGCTCCACAGGAGGAAACTGAGCAGCATCTGCAGTGTAGATGGGTAGTAGCGGGGCGGGGGTGGGCGGAGGGGGGGATTGGCTGTTTCTTCATTGCAGGAGTCTGGTGTTTTGCTAAAACATACACATTATAACAGATTTTATTTTAGTGTATCAGGAAAAATATAGTCTTCTTGGGAGATAACTTAAGCTTTATGATTTGACTGGTAACTTTCCATTTTATAAAATGCTAAGAATATTAGGGTGTCAAAATAGCTGATCTGGAGATTCACACTGAGTCAGAGAGGGACTTTTAGTGTGTGAGCTGTGCGCTGAAGTACCTCACTGTACTAAGTCTAACCCTGAATGTGCACTTAGATGACTCAGAATTGTCAGAATGCATTCATAGGTTAGACGGTTGCAGGTAATTATTACGCTCAAAACAAGACGAGCTTGTGCACTGTGCTGGTAATGCTTGGTAAGTATTCAAGACTAAAGCAGGGCACCATTTCTCTTTCTTCGTGTCTTTGCCCCCCCTGCAGTGGAGGATGAGGATGCAATCAGGTTCTTGGGGGCTGTTTTGGGGAGATAGACATAGCACTTTTTTTCCTGCTGGATAATTGGTTACACTGTGCAGACTCTGTGACAGTGCTTTGTTATCCAACTTTGTTATTTAATCTAGTTGCAAAATCCTTCAAATGGTGATTTTTAGATGCACAAAATTCCCCAAATGGTGTTTTTTAGATGCATGCACAACATTAAAAATATTTTACTGTATTTAGGTAATTTATTTTTGCATAGAGAACATTTTAAACATTTAAGAAACGAAAAAGATTCAGTCTTTATAATACTTTTGTGGAAAACAACTTATTTATGAAGGGGCCATTTTAATATAGAATTATGGGAATAATCAAAACCATCCAACCCATTTAAAAAATTCTAAAAACATGTGTGATGTACAAAACAATCTGAAAAATCATTAAGAAATTTGAAAGTAGAATGTGCGTTTTAAAAATTGCAAGTTGAAAACCATTTTTATTTTGTAGTTTCTTGTGGTGCTATAGACACTTAATATAGTTTTTAAATATTAGCTTGTGCTATAATGCACTTAGATTGAATAGTTTTTAGACAGTATGTGCTCAGTGTTTTAAAAGATCGACACAAGACAATGCAGATTTTCTTTCATGATTATATATTTTTTAGTAAAGCCCAGGGCTAATAGCTCTTTTCTGTAATTCTAATGATTAGAATTTTATTTGAATGCATAGAAAATGTCATCCTAAAATAAACTTTTGGATGTTAAACAATCTTCAGTTTAGCATTTTTCCTCTTCCAGCAAGAGATTAAAGTGCTTGCACCTGCAGGCCATGTGGTCTCTTTAATGCTGGCCAACTGCTTGTGGGAAATGGGTTGGACGGAACACATTGTTTCTCTCTTGGATTTGATTTGCACTTTGGGCTACTCCTGAACATCTCAACGGTTTCCTGTAAAGAAAAAGTAAAATAATGTGAAGAATGAAAAACTCACAAACGTATATTGAAATGCTCTTATGTTTTGGCAAAGTCGATGTCTCGAAACACAGGTGGTGTGTAAACTGATGTCTGCCTCTTTGAACAGGGAGGCAGGTGGTGAGAAGTTACAACTCCCAGGTGAAGCTGTCCTCTTGCGACCTTTGTGGAGACGTCCAGGGCCACTGCCTTTGTGAGGACAGAGCTGCAGGCTCCCTTCACCGTTCTTCAGTCCTGTTCATTTTCTCTCTTGTGCTTCTGTGCTTGTTGCAACATTGGCTGCGATAATTTTTTAAGGACTCTATGTAAAACTAGCATTTCCAGAAATCACACGTGATCACTTTGTTTTCATAATTAAATATCACCTTTGGCTATTTTGAAAAACAATGTTTTCATTCCCTACAGCCCCGGGATGGTCTACAACAGGTCCTACCTGGGATGTAGAGTTATGTCGATTTCTTCACCTGGCCTTTGTGTGGAAGATCAGAATGACTGCAGTGGTGTATTTTCTTTCCTCTATTTGAAATCATTTAAGATCTTTTTGGGAAGTGTTTGTTTTTCTCCAGCCTAAAAACTTTGTTTTATTCTTTTTACTTTGTAGAAGACATAACCCTAGGTTGTTAAGCATTAGTATGTGTTTGGTTTACTGTTAAAGATGAATTTCTCCGGGAGCCAGCAAGAGGAGCTTGTCCTGTTCCCTTCCCAACTCTGGTGTAACCCACTGCCCACCCCACACCCTGTGGTCTCAGTGTACCTTTCTGAATTGGACATTGCTTCTCTCTTTTAGAATGTAGATGGTGAATTTTAAAACATTAGACCGTCTTTTCCCACTTCCAGTCAGATCGCCTACCCCCACCCTTACCCACTCTTTCTTTTTTTGCTGGAGAGAATGAGGGACGAACTGTTTTCTTCTGTGTGACACGCTCAGAGGGTGGGAGGGTACTGGGTGTGCTCAGCCCCGACCCCAGCCATATTTCTGGTATGTGAGTCAGAGAGCACTGCCACCTGTGCCTTTTGTGACTCAGACCAGAGGGCTTAGGCCAGGAGATGCTGTGAACCAGGAGTAGAAGAACATGCTGTACACATTGGTGCAGACTGACCTCCACCTGTTCTGGGAAGGAAGGTGGATTTGATGGGGCCAACTTGAAAATCTTGAGCTGAAGTACTGTAGTGCTGGCCCCAGGTTCTGTAGAACTTTATCTAGGCTCAGGGCTCTGAGCACTAGACTGCCACAGTATAGTGACATGTGTTGCAAACTGAATCCTTAAGAAGATTCCTGAATCCTGAGCATCTGGATTATTGGTCACCATGTACTCTGAAGGGTAAAATTCATGTACCTATGGTATGAGAATTTTTAAAAAATCCTGTTTTTTGCTCCTTCCCTTATTTTCCTGCTTTCTTTCTTTCTGTTTTTCTTCTCTCCTGTCCAAAAATTTTAGATATTAAAAAAATTAAGGACTCTAAAAACTAAATCCAGGGAGTGGTTTAATTTTGCTCCTTCACTGCATGGATTTTGTCTCAAGTGGGCATGGGAGAATAATTGCCATGAGCCTCAAAGACTTTGCTATATATTTTCAGCTACTTATAAATAAGTCTATCAAAAGTAAAGAACACAGCTACATTTTTAAAAATTAAGTTTTAAAAATAATGCTCAGTGAATTCTAAGAAATTATACTGGAATAGATGTTCATATATTGCTTATAGATATTTTGATACCAAGGTCGGAACAGTCAACATTCTGTATTTTAATACTTGCATCCTCTATTTAGAAAACAGATCCTCAGGGAGTGGTCTATGAAGAGAGTGGTTAAATATCAAATATATAATTTTCATGTATTTATTTTCAATTAGAGAAAAAATTTTTTTGATCTGTGTCTTAGTTACTTTCTCATTGCTGGGACAGAATATACAAGTTAAAGGAGGAGAGGTTTATTTTAGTTCACAGTTTGTAGAGGTTTCAGTTCATAGTCAGCTGGTTCCAAGGGAGGGTGGCATGGCAGAGGGACATCTCAGAGGAGAAACAGTCCATGGCATGGTAGGCAGGAAACACAGGGAAATCAAGGGAGGAGGAAGGATATACCCACAGTGACCCACCTTTTCCTACCAGGCTTTACCTCCCAATGTCATACCCAGCTACAAACCCATCAGTTGACTAACTCAGTGAAGAGTACATATACCCATGATCCAATTACCTCCCCAAAGCCCCACCTATGAGCACATGAGTCTTTGAGGGGCATCTTAGATACGAACCATAAGAAGCTGTTTGACCTCTGAAACAGTTCATTCTAAAAGCAGTACTTCTCATGTTTTCCCTCCCTGTGCTGTGGTCTCAGGCCTTATTCTCTGGGACTTCTGTAAAGATGGAATCACTTTCTGATGAAATCATGAGTGTGTTGGCAAAGATCCCCCCTGCCCTGCCCTACTCAGGGAACCTTGTACTGACTGTCACTACCTTAGGTTCTGTAGTAAATAATTTATAATGAATTTAGTGCTAATTGTTCATTGTGAAACAGTAGGGTGGAAAGGCTGCTGGAAGACAGGTTGTCTGTGTTTTAGACATACTTCCTCATTTAAAAACGAATTCAGATACTTTTCTTGTCAAATATTCAGATTTTTTATGTTAAAAGTTCCCTTGTAACTCATCTCTTTTCATGAGACAGCTATTCAGAGTGAGGAGGAGGCAGCAGAGGTGAGGAGAGTATTAGCCAGCCCACCTCATTGTGCATGGGGCTGTGGCGGTCTCAGTCTCTCCCTGCCTCCCCTCTGTTTCTCAGAGAACTCATTCCACTCCAAGAAGTGGTTGAAAGACGACAGGCATGAGGAGAAACGGTTCATATAGGAGCAATAATTAATAGTGCAGGTTATTTTCTTCACATGCTATGAAAAATAATATAAAAATCATTTGGGCCGGGCATTTATCCCAGTGGCACTGTGCCTGGCTTGCAAGCACAAGGTCCTGAGTTCAATAACAAGTACCAAAAAAAAATCATTTTACCTTTGTTTGCGTATACTGAAACTCATCCATTGAGAATGTCAGTTTTGCTTACTGAAATGAACTCATATAAGCTTTCTCATTGTCCCAAGTCACCAACATGTCTCATTTCCATTTCTGACTGGTCAATGGTTCTACAGACCAAACATCGGGAATAACTAGGAGCCAGAAAGTTCTAGGACAGAATGATACATTTATGTTTAGATTCAGCATCTTACTGCCTTTAATTATAGTGCTAAAAAAAAAATGAGAGCCCCTGAAAATGTTCCCAGTCAGTGAAATGCCTCCTTTTATTCTGTTCTATTTACTTTGCTTTTCAAAATGTCCTAAAAGTACTATCTTTGGTTTAGTATTTTAGTTATAATATGGCAACACTGCTCATACAGGATGCAGATATTACCTGGAAGTATAGCTATTACCTAGAAGTTTGTACTTATGTATATGGCACTATATCCTACATGTGGGAATTTTCAGAACTGTAGGTATAACTCTCTGCTCCTATTTTTTTGAACCTGGGTATAGTAATTTTTTGAAAGTCAAAGTTAGCCTTCATTTTTGCTTAGGTGAAATAGTTCTTAATAATCTGTCAATATAATCCAAATTATCTTTATTTTGACATTCAGTTATTTCATTTGACATTTCTGGCTGTCCTCTGACATTTAAAAAAATTGGGACTGATTTGTTTTTGTCATTTTAAACAAAAGAGCCATTTTATTAACCCTCTGGCATATAATCTGGAGTTCCCTTTTTCTAATTGCTTTGGAACTATCGACTATTTACTTCTATAAAAATATGTTGTAAATACCTCATAGACAAGATTCTCCAGCCAAAGGGTAGTAATTATTTTGAGCCTGCCAAGTGGCTGTCATGGGTCAAGGCACCATAATGTATTCCTGGAGCATCACTTCTTACACATTGTAAATGTGGTAAGACACAGTAAGTGGATTCCCCCTGGATGAGCATCAGAACCTTTTATATTCTCAGTAGAGGCTTTTGTTAGACAACAAGAAAAGTACATTCCTCATTTTCCTTTGTTTTCAAATTCTGGGAAGGCATAGCATTTTTTAAGAACTTAAAATTTTCCTGTCATCTATTCAAATGATATTTATGTTAATAGTAAATATCTTAAGTTAGATTGGGAATAGTTTGAGGAGCAGTTATTTTTATTACTTTGAATAGAGGACCATTATTCTACTTAAAAAAAAAAAACCTAAGGAGTAAATGTGACTTTTAAAATTAAGTATCTGTCCTCCTGCCTTGCAATTGCAAGGTCTTGACTTTGATCCCTGGTACCAGGAAAAAAAAATTATCTTTCAGTGAGAATAGACATATTTTGAAACTATTTCTAGGCATGTTCTAGTTTCATATGCCTCATCAAAAGATAGTGCCACATTGCATCCTTCCATAAAATACATTGTTATTTTCATTTCAATTATAATGCAGGAAAACATTTACTAGATGATTTCTGAGCTTCTCATGTCAAAGAACACTTTACACATGGGTATATCTGAGACTCTATAGGAATAATATCGATGTATGTGTCACTACATATTTAAGAATCTATCTCATGTTGTCACGAGGCCAGAATTTACCACTCTTCTGCCCAGTGTGTTGAGTTCGTGGTAGAGGGCAGTTCCATGTTCAACTTACAGATTTTGAAGATTTACCTATTAAGCTGGATGTGGTGGTGCATGCCATAATCCCAACACTCTGGAAAGCTGAGGCAGGAGGATGACAAGTGAGAACCTAGCTTGGGCAACATAGCGATTTAGTGAGACCCTGTCTCAAAATCAAAAATTAAAAAAGGACTGGGGATGTAGTTCAGTGTGAAGGTCCTGGATTTAAACCCCAGTAATGGAAAAAATAAAGATTTATCTTTAGTAGCTTTAGTAGAATGTAGCTTGATGATTTGGTCCTTCAAGCCTTTATGTGTTGAACTTTTAGTAGGGGGCAGTTGATATGGTGAAGTATCTTTTTTGTACACCGGAATCTTTATAAAATTTCCTTTATAAGTCTCCTGTTTTGAGAAACTTGCATATGAGAAGTTTACCATTGAAACAAAACATTATTTTTTCAAGAACTAAACCTTTATATATTGATCAAGGTGATTTTGAAAGCTATTTTAAATGATGGAACATTGTTAATTATTGTTAATTGTACTGTTATGTAGTCAATAGGAAATCATGATTTATCAATAAAAATTAAAGTTCTCATCTATTATCAGTGTTCTTTTTATTGTAGCTTAAAGCCTTTTCATAGCACATTTCCTTTACGTAAGCCTATTAATTGTGAGAATAGGATGTCTAAGGGGAGGATAGAGCGGGCATTATTGCATAACAAGGCATTGACATTAATGAGGTTTATGATATTTGCTCACCAACTCCCTTCACCTTTTCCTCATCTTTGCTTTAGGTACTGGCATGGGGTGTGGGGAGCAGTGGGTAATTCACACATAGAGAATGGCTTGATGTTAGCTGCACACTTACTACAGCTATGGAAATGATATAGAAGTATAGGGTGGGTAGTTTGTGTGCACCTAAGAAAATGGAGGCATGTGGTACCACATCCGGTGCGTAACACTGCAAGTACATTTTCTTTGTTACCACACAGTGTTTTAAACATTTCTAGTGCTGTGAGATTTCTGGGTTTCTGACAAGCCATGAGATTTCTGGATTTCTGACACAGCAAGTACATTTTCTTGATTTATGCACAGTGTTTGTTAAACATTTCTGGTGCCATGAAATTTCTGAGTTTCTACGAGAGGGTAAAGACAGCATAGCAGTTCTCAGTCGGGGAGATTTGGAGGTGGTTCTGTTGGCAGCTGGTGGGGAGTGGCCAGGATGCTGATAAATACCCTACAGTGAAGGACACAACAAAGGATGATTTGGCCCTCAACAGCAAAGTGCTGGGACTGAGAAACCCTCAAGCTAAGTGAGGTTGGGCACTTCCAGCTTACCTAGTGATGTCAGCTACTTCCACTTGATTAACCTAGCGCATCCTTACTGCTGTGCTTTGTCCCACCAAACTCACATGGAGGCCCAACTCCTCAATGCAGTGGTTAGAAAGGTGGTGGGACCCTGAGGGCACTGAGGGTCCTGGGATTTGTGGCAGGATCAGTACAGTCCTAGGAGAAGGTTTTGTCACAAGAGCAGGCTGTTATAAAGCGGGTCAGCCCCTTTGTGCCCTCCTTCCTCTCACCTGTGACTCCCTGTACTGCCTCCCAACCCTAGAGTCCTCTGCCTGTGAGAAGACCCCCATCAGGTGCACTTGCCTTCAGAACTATGAGCCAGATAAACTTCTGTTCCTTATCAGTTATGCAGTCTCAGCTATAGGAACAGAAGGAACTAAGATATGTACAGGACAGCAGAGTCATCAGAATCATGACTGATAATTTAGATGAATAAATGTGTCCCAAGTTGAAGAAAGGTGGCAAAAAGACACAGTAATTATGTTTTTGAAAATGTGCACAATGGTAATTTCTAAACTTGACCATCAGATTCCCCTAAAGGGTGTGGTTTCACAGAAAATCCTAGCTTTATTTTGTAGAAGCCATAGTTGAGCAGGTCTAGGGTTCAGTTCTGAACCTGAGTTCCTAAGCAGAGAGCTGATTCTGATGAATGTTTCAGTTTGGGAACCACAGGAACATGTGACATTTCCAGACCTCTCTGGCCTGGTTCTGGAGGGGGGTCCTTCCCAGTCATTTGTGGGGGCCTCTGGGGATGCCTGTGCTCTCTCAAGGATCTTCCTGATGGTCCCGTGAGATTTCTGCTCTCTTTCCAGTCTGGGCCACTTTGTTGATGTCAGTGTAGCAGAGACTCCTCCTTTCCTCATCCCCTACTCTGTCTCCTCTTTCTCCTCAGTTTTGGGGTGCCGAGTATATTTATACTGTCAGCTATGTTTCACAACTTCTTTTGTACATAGGGGGAGTCCTGGACTATATTCTATCAAGTGGGGCATAAATTGAAATGTGAGTGACACTTTGAAGAAGTAGCTCCAAAGGAAGAGGGCACCCCACCCCCCTGCTTTCTCGTCATCCTCCTCCCTGGAAGTGGCTGGCCAGAGCTCTGTGGCTCTTCTGATCTCCCAGGAAGAATGCCATACCCTAAGGAGAGCCAAGTCCCGAACTGCCTACTTTTGGGGTTCCTTCACAAGAGAGGAACTTCTATTTTGTTTAACCCAGGTGGTACCTGTGACCCTCGCCTGCTGGTGTGCATGCCAGTGTGGCCCTCCCTAGTCCCGTGAGTGGTGGTGACCATGAGTTGATTGCAGTCAGTAGAGCACCAAGCAGGGTAGAGGTGACATTAGTTTGTATTGCCCTCTTACTGGGGCCGGTGCCTCCTTTCTGACTTTGAACATGTGGGTGACTTGTTGGGAGTACCAGGTCACAGGACACTGAGAGCAGCATTGAGGAGCTGAGGGCCACCTCCTGGGGACAGCCAGCAAGAAACGGAAGCCCTTACAGCTACAAGGCGTGTTCTGCTCTTGTACAAAAGAGCGTCTTTTCCCAGACAAACCCCAGATACACTGTGCCCCAGTGGATGCCCTTATCACCCCTCTCCAAGTGAGATGTTAAGCAGAGCCTAGCTGATGCCCACTCTCTTGATGCCCAGAAACTCTGGGATCGTAAATAGAGAACTAATGAGCAAATTTAAAACATTGACTCTGCTCACACAGCTGATTTAGTCCTAACAGTTAACACCCACTGCTGCCATCATTCCTGTCTTTAAGTGACCTGTAAACTTGTCAGCATTGCCCCATCTTCTGCCAGTGGCACTGCCACCCATCTGTGCCAAGGGGCAGCTGTGTTCTCTTGCTGCCCCTCAGCCGTGCCAAGCTCCACAATGAAGCAGGTGGGGAGAGTCTTTCCCAACTCTGTGCTGTGTTTTACCCTGTGGGTAGAGGGGGGCTGCTTGTGCCTCAGAGATCAGAGTTTTTATGGAAACTGTTCCTTTAATTCCTGATTACTGTTCCTCCTCCAAGTCTATAGGGCTGGGCTGAATGCCGTGAAGTATAGGTACTATATTATGTGCATGTGTGTGCACACACGCACACTCACACACACACACTCACACTCATCAGCCAGAACTGACCCCTGCTACCCACTCACCCAACAGTTTACCAGATACGCTTATGCACAGTCACCACCGTAGGTAAATGTGGGGACTTTGGTGGCCTCAGATATTGGCTCTGCCTCTTGTCAGAGGGAAGAACTTCACCCTCTGGTGTACGTGAGAGGGATTTCTCCCCTAAAATTAGCTCTTAGAGTCTCTCTTTCCTGTAGCTGAACATTTGTCAAGTTAGGAAGAATTGACTGGCAAGGGGGGCTCATCTCACCACCTCTATCTTGGGATCCACCCGGTGTCCTGGTCGGTCCTGTGTAGACCTGGATCTTGCCTCAGAAGAGAGGCCCAGGCTGGTTAAGAAAACCTGCTCAGAAATGGCTTTTAGAGGGAGGATCCATTGGATTTGGACATCAGGCTTCATTCTCTGCTTCAGCCTTTGCTGGGATAAAGTAAGTATTTTGGGTCCTTCATCTGTTGACGATGTTTGTATCACAGGTGGGGTGCAGAATGCTGTTTATTGCCCTTCTTTGTAGATTCCAACACCTCTACCAAAGCATGATCTTGAGCAAGTTTTGCAATATCTACTACAGCTTGAGCACTTACTAAATTATGGTTATAATTCTGGGTAACATCAGTGGATACAGTTTAGGATATATATATATATATATATATATATATATCAGAGAGCTTATATATATATAATCACTTTGGGTAGGCAGGAGAGAAACCTTCCATCGTCCAGCAGGGGAGCTGAGTTGTTGCCGTGGGGTGGGTCCCCTCAGTGCCCTGTAGACTGTACTGACATCACCTCATTACCTGCCATGCTCCCCATGGGCAGAGGTAGTGCTTGACTTGAGGTTGATGGGTACTCTTCTCCTTCTTACTACTTTCTGTGCCATCATTTTGATAAAGGTGAACTCACAAATGAGACTTTGAAAAAAGTCCAAACAACAATTCACTCAAGGTAACTGGTGATAAATGTTCACTACAGAGATTCAGATATAGGAATATTGTGACCCAGTTACATTGTCCTGTCAGACTGTATGAGAACATGAATAATCACTACCTAGACTTCTGCAGTGTCCGCATAGGCACATGTCCCTGTGAGCAGAGATTATTTGTGGGTGGATTTCACTGTCTCCTTCAGGCTAT